GGTGTTTATTAGTATCCTTTAATGCTGCCTAGGTTCTTACTTACAGAATGAAATGTATATCATATATTCACCTGATAGTTCAGTTTTGCAAAAGGACTATAGAAATAGGTAAATAATATTTATATATTAGGGGCAAAAATACATTTTCACCCCATTAAGCTGATTTAAAATAAAACCCAATTCTTAATTTTGAACTTACCCATTTGTTTCTATACACTTTTAACATATTGAAAAAATGTCATATCATAACTGTGACAAATTATATTTGCAAAAAATACAACATATCAGATGCTTTGAGGAATAAATATACAAGAAATAAATTTTAAATACAATCAGAAATAGGAAAATAAGAACTCTCAAAAGCCACCTACAGTTTCTTAGATCTTAAAATGCCTATATAGAACCCTAAAACATTAATTTTAAAAACTTTGCACTGGATACATTGGCAAATTATTTTGAAAGGTAGTAAAGATATTTTCTTGTCTGTGTATTTATATTGACAGCTTATGACCGTAATTTTCAAAATATTAAGCATTTATATTTGCATGTTCTTTTCAATTCTTTTTAAATTTCTGACCAATGTAAAATGCTTATTCTTCTGAGAAAACAGTATTTAATCTGTAGAAATTTTAGTTATTCCTCACTTGCTACAACTGCAAATATTTATCAATAAAACTGATAACCAAAAACTTGACTTCTCATCTCCCTGTAACATTCTTAATAGTATCCTTGCAACACACGATTGTGCACAGATTGATCTTTTTGTTCCCAAATGCCAGACTTTAATTTTAAATTTGATTTCAAGTGACATGTCTGTGTCATATGACTTTGGGCAAATATTCTATTGAACCTCTCTGAGCCTGTTCCCTCATCTTCAAATGAGAAACAGAATACTTTATTTACAGGGTAGGCATGAGAATTAAATAATGTAAACATGGAAAGAATGAAGTGTTACATATAACATTATTATTTTATCAGTGTTCTCCAGCTCAATAATTATTCCTATTTCAAGAATGTTATGAATTAGATGCCACTATAATGCACTTTTCCCATATTCTTTTGAAACCATACTTTAAAATCTGATTTAATTATTCATCCAAAAAAAAACCACAAAAAACCAACCTGGGCGCCTGGGTGGCTCAGTCAGTTAAGCGTCCGACTTTGGCTCAAGTCATGATCTTGTGGTTCATGAATTTAAGCCCCGCTTCGGGCTGTGTGCTGACAGCTCAGAGCCTGGAGCCTGCTTCAGATTCTGTGTCTCCTCTCTCTGCCCCTCCCTTGCTCGCACTATCTCTCTCTCTCTCTCAAAAATAAGTAGACATTTAAAAAAAAAAAATCACAAAGAGAAAAAACTGCAACCAAGCTGATTTTAAGATGGAAGATTATATGAATTTGTTCCTGCTTTGTTCAATAGTATGATTCACGCTCAGTTTTCAGTTCATGAACATCACACTGAATCTACAATCAAGAAGTAGGTTTCTTTCAATGATACACATACAGATATATGTATATAGATGTGTGTATGTGTATAAATTGTATGCTTAAAATAAATGCTTAAATAAGATAAATCATTTGAAAATTTTATTTCCAAAGGGAAAAAACAGTATTCCCAAGGGCAGGAAGAATATAAACATCAAATAATTCGCCAAATAAATATGTGGAAGTAAAGCTAAAAACTAAGTTATGAGAGATGGGCCATTAGAAAACATGGATACTGTCACTGGAATAGAAAGCATTCTAGTATGATTTTGTAACTAATTTTACCATGAAAATATGAAAATTAAAAAAATGGTTGTGTTCATAAAATTTTTCATTAAACCTTTTATTTTAGAATAGTTTTAGAGTCACTGAAAAGTTGCAAAGATAGCACAGAGAAGTTCTATATACTGCACATCTATTGAGACATTTGTCACACCTCATGAAATATTGATGCATTAAGTCACGCTTATTCAGATTTCCTTAGCTTTTACCTAATATCTTCTTTCTGTTCCAAGATCTCATTCAATATACCCATTTACTTATCATGTCTCCTTAAATTCCTCTAAGCTCAAACATTTTTTGTTGTTGACCTTGACAGTAGTGAAGAGTACTGGTCTAGTACTTTGTAAAATGTCCCTTAACTGGAATTTGTTGATGTTTTTCCCATGATTAGACAGGTGTTACCAGTTTTTGCAAGACCACAGAAGTAAAATGCCATATTACTATCATCAAGACTCATCACTGTTCATATTGACCTTGATCATTCAGTTGAGGTAGTGTTTGTTAGGTTTCACTGCCACAGAGCAATACATTATTTAATAAGTTATGTTAGAGGTAATTTCACTGGACGTTAACGCTGAGCTTAAAAAAAATTCTGAGCAGATTTTTCAGCACTGCTATTAGGTTCCATTAAATACTATGAAGAAATTATAATAAACTGGAAAGTGAAATGGAAAAATGAAACTCTGAAACTGTTAGCTTGAACATTCACTTAATGGAGGTGAAAGTGATTTTTTTTCCCTTGAACTACCTTCACCTTATCCTCTACATCTTTGGGTAGTAAAGATTTTAGTTTAATCTTCAGAAGAGGTAATTTAAATTAATAATCATTTTGCTGAGTGTTTTTCTATATTGCCCTCAGTTGAATAATGAACACTGATTACTGAAACATTGTAAAAGACTTGATTTTTTCCCCTTTGCTTTAACCGATTTGTCATACAGTTTCTTGTATATGGTTTTAGGATGTTTGCTAAATATAAAAAAAAATTTCAGTGTGCTTGGTTCTGTAAAATTTATCATATCGAATGTGTGCAATTGTTTACTACCATGTTCATTGTACTTAATAATTTATATCCACATTTTGTACTTCACTAATATTAGTGGACCATGAAGAAGTTTTGAATGCATGAATGCAGCTTGAGACACCATACTTGGTTATTTTGCAATGTCAGAATAATTGTAGGTACTTATAAATTGAATAGATAATCCAGATTATTTTCCTCCAATTTAAGTTGTTTTGGGTTTTTATTCCCCCATCTTTGAATTTATTTTATCATTTTACCTATGTACAAATAATAGACTTCCTGAAAATGCTAGAATCTTCAACATGTAATAATAGAATTTGAGCATGACAATAATGTAAGAAAATTCAAAAGTTTCAACCTTTTCTTTTTGAGTTTTCTAAGTAAATCAAACTACAGCTGTTTTCATTTGATTATTGTGGAAACCTATGGATATTATTGTAAAATACACATGCATCACACTTTTTAAAAATGTTTTGAATTAATAAAGAATTCACCAATGTATCCTTAGACAAGTTACTGTTTCCTCATTGGTGTAACACTATAGGAGTAAAAGGTACACTTATTTATATTACCTAAATTGCTTATGCTTATGAGGGAATATAATAATTTCGGGCTGGATTCTTTACAGTGTTCCATAAGGTTATTGCTTATTACATTTTTTTCACCTTTTATAAATAATAAAGTATATTCTTGAAATGACTTGTTTCGAGAATTCAGCTGAGAGATTTATCACATTGAGTTCAAATGGCTTCCACCATTTGTGTGTTTTTTTTTTTTTTTAATTCAAAGTTGAGTTTAGATTTGGGAAATAATTATTTCTAATAAAGATTAAATGACCTGATCGGTCCTGTTCTATACTCGGATCAGAATTAAAATAAAATGGGTTTCAACCCACTATCTTAAAGAACACTTCTATAAAGTAATGTGGCTTGAATACACCAAGTGAAACGAGTAACTGAGATGATTAGTTGGAGTTTTTAAGTAGCAAAACCTATTTCTGGTCTGTATTATTTGGAGAGACATCTCATCCCTCCATTTCACTTTATATTTGTATGTGGAGCTCCGGAATGAATAGAGGCAATGCAAACGCATTCTACAAAAATTTTATACTTCATCTCAGTAGTGTTGAGTAGACGACTTAAGAATGACTTAACCTTGTCAAGGGCTCCTGTATTTACCTTTTTTTTTTTTTTATAAATCAATTGCAATTTTCAGTATTTCAGCTCTCTCAACAGGGAACACAGTAGACCCTGAGCAAGCCAGTTAGTGGGAGTTCCCAGTGAGTCAGCCCTTGTATCCCTAGGACTGTCTTGATTATACTTATTCCCTCATATCCATCCCACTGGTGGGTTGTAGAAAGATCTTTAGAGAAATGCAGAGCATTACGCCAATAAACCTCAGTATCCCTGGCACCAATCCGCTATCTTAAGGTTTTTGGAGAGAGAGAGATGGAGGCTGGGCTACCGAAGGTGGGACTATTAAGGCTTTGCTGCGCTGTGGTTTATAGGAACATAGAATCGCTCAATCTCTTTTAAAAGTAGCTAGCGATAACTAGGAGTGAGACCGGACTGGCAGGAGACTCGGGTGAGGAAGGAAGTTGTTTGAAAGCAAGTTACATGGCAGATAGAGGACAGGAAAGCAGATTTTGAGAAATCACTTTTACAGGTTGCCTTTGAGTACACTAGTCCTGTCCTCATTAATACGAGCCTTTACCCACCGCCGGAAAGAGAAACTTAAGCAGAAACGAAGGAAGAGGAGTAAGCACACATACACACACCGATGCCCATCCTACAATTCACTCTTGGAGACGAAAGGCCTGTGTTCTCAGCCCCGGTAGCGGACTACACTGCCCTCCGCTGCGGTACTCGAAATCCTCATTCAGTGCTTGGAAAATAAATCCTCGACGTCAGAAAACCGGGTGGCAACCTGCAACATCCCCCTTCCTGTCCAACACAACGCCCTGGTACATCCGAGACCTTTCCGACCGCGCTTCTTGGAGGGGTCTCCCAGACTCACTCCCATCGCACCCCGCTCTGCCCCCTTCCGGCCGGCGCGCGCGTGGCGACATTTAAACGCTTGCCTGGAAGTTCCCACCCAGGCTTTCGGGAGGCCCTTTAAAACTGGCGCGTGCGCTGGGGTAGGTACGATCAGTTCTCGCCGGGTTTCCAAACTCCGAGCAGTGTCGCGAGATTCGCTATCCGAAACTTCCGGTTCTAGTCCGCCTCGGTGATTGCAACTTGGCTATGCGGTCTCGGCTTCTGTTTAGTGCTGCCCGGTGTCTTCGGGCGCTCCGGGCTATTAGCCCAGCCCGTCGGCACCTAAAGTGCGGCAGCCTGCCGCTGGAGGAGCTGTTCGCCCCCGGCGGACCTTTGCGGACCTTCCTGGAGCGCCGGACAAGGTGTGAAGCCCAGTTGCAGTTCGGGGGGTCTGAGCTGCTGGCGGTGGCCAAACTGCTGAGCGAGAAGGAGCAGGAGCTGCAGGAGACCGAGCATTTGCTACACGGTGAGGGCCGGGCCTAGGGGAACGGGATTCAAAGCCGATTCTTGACTCTTAGTTTGCCTCGTCAACTAAGCCGCTGGTCAGGTGTCCATAGCTCCCCAAGTTAGAAGTTCTTTACTCCGTTGCAACCCTTTTTGGCTTGGGTCGGAGGTCAAGGCATCACTGTGTGCGCTCTGACTCCATCCTCTCTCCCTTTTGAGCCCCTGTGCTCCCTGGACAGGATGCTCCGCCCCCTTTTACAAAATTTAAATTTATCGATTGTCTACTGGCGGAAGATCTTTAGCTTACCAGGGACAAATAAGGGACCATCCCTGTTACGTGCCTGACAGCAGGGTTTCTGAAAGGGACCAACTGGGATAGTGTCAAGAGAGGTGCATGCTAAAACTAGACTTTGGACTCAGAATCTGAGACCTAGAAATATGCGTTTTTAACAAGCTTCCCAAGTGATTAGTGTGCATTCGAATCTGGATGGGTCCTAAGTTTCTGCATTTCTACAAGCCCCCCCCCCATGAACCACACTTTGACTAGCTTGACTCTAGAGAAGATGTATTCAAGGAGAGAAAATTAATACTACAGCTGAAAAGTGAGAACAGATAACTGAATAAACACCTAGGGAAAGCAAGGAGAACTTGTTGGGAAGGTCTTGTGCAGTGATAAAGTTCCACCCTTAGAGGATATTAATAATGGTTTAACCTTTATTATTTTACCGTACTTCAGGCTTTGCTTAACTATTTTTATGTATTAAATCACCCAGTTCACATATCAAACTGTGAAGTAGGTACTGTTAGCCTCATGTGACATAAGAGGAACATGAGGCATGGAGGTAAAATAACTGCTCAGGCTAAACAGCTTTTAAGGAATGGAGTTTGGATTGGACTGACTCCAGATCTCATGTTTTTAATCCTTGTACTCTTTGTTAACCAAGAAAGAAGAGAAGTTACGGGGAGTGGCAGGTTGAAACATTTTGTAAAGGTATGAAATACTAACCTAAAAAGGTTGATTTTTATCCTGTTGGCAGAAGGGAGCCAGCTGAAGCTTTTAGATTGGGGAGTGAATGCCAGAAATGGCTTACTTGCTTAGAAAGCTTTCTGTCTGGTAATCTGGAAGTCAGCCTGGAACGGGATTGCGGATGCTTGGAAAACAGAAGACTGAAGTCTAGTTGAGACTTAAGGAGAGTCTAAATCAGGTGATTTAAGAGAAAATGTGGCTTCCCAGAGTGGGGTTAAAAAAAGGATTACTTAACCATACTAGGAAAAATACTTTGCAAGAAAAATAAAATTGATTTCATAGCTTAAGCCAAGCTTAAAAACCAAATGGATATACGGGTTAAATATTTTAAAAACCTAGCTGTAAAGAAGTAAACAGAATGTTAGAAAATTGTTACTGGCAGAACACAACTCAGCTTAATGATAGAAAATATCATTTAGCAACTCCTGAATTCTTACTTTATGTCAGACACTACTAATTACCCAGAAAATACAGAACTAGTTTTTAGGAGCTTGCAGTCTAGGGAAGAAGTAAAAATATATGTGAACAAGTGCTCGTTTTAATTTCTGCAATAAAGAGCAGTTATAAAAAGCAAAAGGAGGCATTTAAGTGGATTTCAAAGAGAATGCAGGAGGTTGCCAAACAGTACGAGAAGGGGATTGAAGGCAGAGGTGGCCAGCAAGAAGAAGAAAGTACCAAATTGGAAGACATGATGTAGCAGGAGCATAGAGTAGGTATGGGAGTTGATAATGTCACAGAAACTTGAAACCAGAAACATGGTTCAGAATGCTGCATGACAAAGAAACTGGATTTGTTCCTACAGACTGTGAGAAGTTAGCACGTTTTTAAGCAGAGAAGTGACTTTTTTTTTTAATCATTTTTGAGAGAGAGAGACAGCACGAGTTGGGAGGGGCAGAGAGAAAGGGGGACACAGGATCTGAGCAGGCTCCAAGCTTTCAGCACAGAGCCCGATGTAGGGCTCGAACTCACGAACTATAAGATCATGACCTAAGCTGAAGTGGGATGCTAAACCGACAGAGCCACCCAGGCACTGCGAGAAATGACATCTTTTGAAAGATTAATGTTGTTGTCAGTGTTTGAGAATGAACTGGAGTATTCTCCAGGGACCTTGGTGGCTGAAAGGCCAGTGAGAAGGTAGTTGAAACCGTGCAAGAAAGAGGTGGTGATAGGCATGGGCCACACTCACAAGACATTCTAACAATAGTCAGGATTTGGTGGCTTACGTCCCGAGAAGAGTGAAGGAGAGAATTCTAAGAAAAGTCTTAGGCTTCTGGGTTCAGAACATGAATGGTACTGTTAACTAAGATGAAAATATAAAAGTTGGATAAATTTTAGGAAAAAAAGATGTTTTGTGCCAAACAGGCAGCCATATTAAGCCAGGAGTACCTGTAAGGACATTCAGATGAAGAAATTCAGATAAAGATAATGGTCTAGAGAAAACACTACTGGCAGAGGAGAAAAACTGAGCCTGAATAATCGTATGAGAACTCAGCATATATTTGACAAAGTAAAGCTTAGAAGCAGATGAGAATACTCAGGAAGAAGTGGTTGAGAAAGAAACAAGACACTAACAAAGGTAGAAATACACAGTATCGGAGGAGCAGGCAGGACAAAGCTATAAAAGATCGAGAAAGAAAAGGCAGAGCTTTGGGACCCTGAACAAGATAAATGAAGCTGTAAACACCAATTCAAATGTCAAGGGATTGTTGATACTGGACTTAGAAAGGGCTCACCTTTTCAGCTCACACTGAAATAAGCTTTTACGTTTGGCAATTTTATCATGGGTGATTTTAATAAAAACGATGTCGGGGCACCTGGGTGGCTCAGTCAGTTAAGTGTCCGACTCTTGGTTTGGGCTCAAGTCATGATCTCATGGTTTGTGAGTTCAAGCCCTGCATCAGGCTCTGTACTGACAGCCTGGAACCTGCTTCGGATTCTGTGTTTCTCTCTCTCTCTCCCCCTCCCCAACTCATGCTGTCTTTGTCTCTCTCAAAATAAATAAATAAAACTTAAAAACAAGATGTTATTAATATGATTATGAAATCCAGTGTGACAACTAGAGAACTAAATGAGAATTAACACGAGAAATTGTAAACCTGGCATTGAATCCAGGAGTTTGGGACGGAAAAGCAGGGGGGTGACAAGCGTTCACGTGAAGGGTTGAAGAGAACAAGAACCTTTACAGCAGGGAAAACATAAACATATTGGTAGACAGAGGAGAAGGCAGGCATGTGATAGGTGCCGAGTGAACATGTTGATTAATAACAGTGAATCAGAAAGAACTAGTATATTTCCACTGCCTACGAATAACCCCAGTCTAAACCCTCCAGAGCTATGCTGTCTGGTAATAGTAGCCAGTGGCCACACAAGGCTACTAAGCACCAGTAATGTAGCTAGTGTGAATTGAGATATGCTGTTAAGGATAACAGATTTCAAACACCTAATATAAAAAATAATTTTTGATATTTTAAGGTACGTGTTGAAATGATAATGTTTTACACATACTGGGTTAAATAAAATGTAGTATTAAAATTAAATTACTTCAAGACCTTATTTCTAATCCCCTTAGCCTTACAGAAGATGCAGAACTGAAAGTCACCTTAGAGGTCATCCAGCCTAGCTCCTTCACTGTTGCTGAGATAACAGAGATTCAGAGAAGTTGGATATGTTGCCCTGAGAGAATCCTAGCAGCTGAACTAGGACTAGAATTCATTTTTCCTTTGTCTAATTCAACACATTTGCCATTCCACCACATTTTTCTGTGCAGAATTCCTGCCCAAATAATTTCCTGCCTTTCCACCAACACTCCGAATACTTGCTTATCTCATTATTGCTGTTGCCATTTTCTCTCCTTGAGTTAATGCTTCTTTCCTTTTTCTGCCCATCCCAAAAGTAAATGCAAAAACAGTCCTTTAGTGTGCTACTATTTTAATACTTAATCACAAAGTGTTTTAGATTGTAATTCTGTGTGAGTTTTCTCCCCTAGAAAAATATAAAGAAACTAAAATTATCTAAAATCCTGCCTTGAGGGCAGGTCTTACATATTATTATCTCCAGTTCCTCCAAACTGATACTTTGGAAGAGCCTGATCTTTCAACAAAGAAAGCTATTTGTAATAACTAAAGAAATTTCCCTTCTCTCCTTTCTATAGGTCGCATATTGTCCATAGGATAGAGAAATGAGAAAATATATTTTGTAAGGTAAAAATGAAAACTCAGACACTATAAGAAAGTAAAAGCAAGTTGGGTGGGGGAGTACTTCATATAAACCTTCTGTAAACATTAGGGAAGATCTAAATGTTTGGTGGATATTTTATATTAATGAAATATTAGGTAAAGAGATAATAAATTTCTATTTTTTTATACAATTTTTTAATGTTTATTTTCAAGAGAGAGATAGAGCATGAGCAGGGGAAGGGAAGAGAGAGAAGGAGACACAGAATCCAAAGCAGGCTCCATCCAGGCTCTGAGCTGTCAGCACAGAGCCCGACATGGGGCTCAAACTCATGAACCATGAGCTCATGACCTGAGCCAAAGTCGGATGCTTAAGTGACTGAGCCACCCAGGCACTCCTCTATTTTTTAATTCAGTTTGGTTTAACTGATGGAAACTTTAATTCCCCTTCTGGTCTGACAACTCAGTGAATTTGTTGTTGTGTAGTCTAAGTTGGAAAACTAAAACCATATTTGTTAACATGAATATTTCATGGGGGTAGAATTATAGGATAGTTCAATAGGTTCTTTATATTTTTCTGTAGATTCTTTTTTTTTTTTTTTTAATGTTTATTTAATGTTAGACAGAGCATGAACAGGGGAGGGTCAGAGAGAGACGGAGACACAGAATTTGAAACAGGCTCCAGGCTCTGAGCTGTCAGCACAGAGCCTGATGCAGGGCTTGAACTCACGGACCGCGAGATCATGACCTGAGCCGAATTCGGATGCTTAACCGACTGAGCCACCCAGGCGCCCCATCTGTAGATTCTGATGCTTCTGTCATCAGCAAAAAAGTTTGTTGTTTTTTCTTTTAAGCTACATGCTGATGAAAACTAATGCATACAGTGCTACTTTTAATTAATGGCAGTTATGAAAAGGACAAGAAAGATATTTTTCCCTTTGGCTACAATAATAAAATAAAGACCTTGAATTCTGTTTAATTCCTTAATTAAGAAAAACTTAACCTACTGCCTTATTTCCATAGATGAAAATGAAGACTTAAGGAAACTTGCAGAGAATGAAATAACTTTATGCCAAAAACAAATAACTCAGCTGAAGCATCAGGTATGGTATCTGCAAAGAATAAAGATTTTGTGCTATTACTTCTAATGAATTTTATTGTAAGTTGATAAAAACAACTCAAGAAGTAACTAGCTTGTTAGTACTCAGAATTATAAACTTTTCTAAAGCAGGAAAAAGTATACTCCGGGTGGTGCAATTTTTATCATAATAAAAGGATCGGACAGCTATGGAAAGAAAGGTGACTGCCATATTGATACGAGTTTTCCAAAAAGCAGTGGGATAAATATCAGTATTCTACTTCCCCTCTTTTGGTTTTTTAAAAGAGGTGAGGGGTAGATGGTGAGTAGAAACAGTTACAGAGCGGTGGTAGATTGTGAGCTCCTTGGCAGCAGAAATATTGTTCCTATCTTTGGCGCTATGAAAGTGCCAGACCTAAGATCGACCCTCGGCTTTTAGAACTGAATTATACTGCTTTAGTTTTACATATGGGATAATATATAGGCATTAGATGAAGAGTAATCATTATTTTAATGTTTATTTATTTTGAGAGACAGAGTGTGAGCAGGTGAGGGGCAGAGAGAGAGGGAGACACAGAATCTGAAAGCAGGCTCCAGGCTCCGAGCTGTCAGCACAGAGCCCGTCTCAAACTGGGGAACAGTGAGATCATGACCTGAGCGAAGTCGGACGCTTACCCAACTGAGCCACCCAGGCGCCCCAATGTAATCATTATTTTAAATTAGACCTAGTCTTTTATGCAGATTCTGTAAAGCAGAGCTTAAAGATTTATAGTAGTTATCTCTGAGGATGTAAGTAAAAGAACATGCTATGGTGAGGAAGGAGCCCAGGAAAAAGGGGTGCTTCATTTAAAGATTACATTTCTTCTCTAGTCAAAAGTTAATGTCCTTACCACCCATTCCAGAGGGAAAGTTCCACCATGAAGTGAAGTCTCATATAATTTGCCTTCTTCCCATTTTCTAATATTTTTGTGAAATACAAGGACATATGTATTAAAGGTTTCTGTTCATGGACTAGTAGTTAACAAACACATAAATTCAACTAGTTACTCAAGATTTGAATGACCATGATGTACTGGCATCGGCTAGAGAGATGGAAAAGTAGGAACAACTATAGCTCCCAACCAACATAAAGTATGATACTTCACAATTCAGGCAGACCTGGGTTCAAATTCTAGTTCTTCCACTTTCTAGTTGTATGTTCTTGGCAATGAGATTATCCAACTAAATTAAGCTTAAACTTAGTTTTTACATCTTAACTAGAGCAAGATACTATCTTCCCAAGACTGATTTCAGAATTAAAGTATATAAAGTGCTTAACAGAGTGCTTGTCACATACTAAGAGACCAGTAAATGTTGGTAGCTTTTCTTATTTAACTCACCTAACGAAAGAAGCTTTTATTCTGCGTCCTCTTAATTAGTACATACTGAAGTGTGAAAGGTATATTGTCAGGGAAGGAGGACTGATCTAGGCACCTTGATTTGAGTTCTTCTGCCTGCTCTGCCGGAAGCTAACCTTTTTCTTTTGCAAGTCATTTAGTCTCTACAGCCTCATTTTCCTTTACATGCAGAAGGACCAGATCACACATCATCTCTAAGGGCCTTTTCAGTTCCAAAATTACAAATTTCTCTTCCAAATTAAAGAAACTTAAAAAAATAGAAACATACAATTTTAGTCTTTTTTTTTTTTCTTTTCTGCCATACTAGGCTATAGATTTCAAAACAATAAGAGTTAGGATCTTCTTTTGCATCCTGCACACAGTATAGTGTCCTACTCACAACAAGCTCTGAATTATTAACCAAACAGAACTGACATAAAGTTTTACATAAACACCAAAAATAAACAAATTAGACCCATAAGTTTTATCTGTACCTTATAGCATTTATAATATAGTTGTAACATTATATTTTTTAGAAGTTATGCATTACTATATGGTTCTAATTGGCAAGATGGTTGAAGAGTAATCAGCAGTATTTGTTTAGAGAAACTTTAAGTAATTCACTATTTAAATCCTGTTGCATCTTGGGGCGCCTGGGTGCCTCAGTCGGTTGAGCATCTGACTTTGGCTCAGGTCATGACTTCACGGTTCGGGAGTTCGAGCCCTGCGTCGGGCTCTGCTGAAAGCTCAGAGCCTGGAGCCTGCTTTGGATTCTGCGTCTCCCTCTCTGTCTGCCCCTCCCCTGCTCATGCTCTCTCTCTCTCAAAAATAAACATTAAAAAAATTTTTTTTAAATCCTGCATCTAATCATTTAGTGGTTTTTTTTGTTTGTTTTTTTTTTTTAAGTTTTAAATAATTCCTAATTATAGGAGGGGTGATATTTTTGTATTTACAGATTATCTTACTTTTGGTTCCCTCCGAAGAAACAGATAAAAATGATTTGATCCTGGAGGTAACTGCAGGAGTTGGGGGTCAGGAGGCAATGTTGTTTACATCAGAGATGTTCGATATGTATCAGCAATATGCTGCATTTAAAAGATGGCATTTTGAAACCCTGGAATATTTTCCAAGTGAAATAGGTAAGTACACTGTTTAATTCATTTGGGGGGAAGAACAGATTTAATCTATCTACATGTGTCATATGATGATGTTTGGAGAGACCATAACTAAGCTTTAGAATTTATTGGTTAAGGAAGCTTACCTGATTTTATGTTTACCATTCACTTAGTAATTTTGAATGTAAATATACCTGTTTTGAGTGGGCCTATAAAATACTAGTCATTCACTACTCACCACTGAATGATTAATGATCTTTTAAAAGTGCTCTTTTACACGTTATTGAATCAATTCATTAATACCATAAATACTTTATGTTTAGTGATTATTAGCAATAAAGGTATTAAGTGTTAAAACACTGGATATCTAGACTTGCTAAAGTATTTCAATGCTTTTATATTCTGTATGCTTATATTGGTTTGTAGCTCTTTTAAGTATATTTCAAGATGGTGGAAGTGATGATCAGTTGTTTATAAATGGCAATAATAATTGTTCACTCAATATTTTCAAGGTGGCCTTAGACATGCGTCTGCCAGCATTGGGGGTGTAGAGGCCTATAAGCACCTAAAATTTGAAGGTGGTGTACACAGAGTACAAAGAGTGCCAAAAACAGAGAAGCAAGGTCGCATCCATACCAGCACCATGACTGTGGCAATCTTACCCCAACCGACCGAGGTAAGGCATCAGTCTCCTCTCCTTGGAATCCTGCGCTCAGCACAGTGCCTTGCTCCCAGAGTAACAACTCACTTCACTGAACTGAATAACTCCTTTGCTCATCTTTGGCCTTTATCATGTATTTTGAGGGTTTAATAATCTCTTATCTCAGTCCAAAAAAAATCTTACAATAGATAGTAACAGTTAAAGATATATAAATGATCTAATGTTGCACTATTTATTAATTTTTGTCCGCCACTAAGTTTAGTTATTTTAAGACCATCTCAGTAGGAGAAACAGTATTACCCTACTTTAAATAGGATTTAATACTGATTACCCTTCATAATGATTTTTGTTTTGTCTGACTTTCCTAGAGTGTAAATAGAAGAATTCTATTTTAACAAGGGTTAACAGAACTGCTACTTCATAACCCAGTTGCATTAAAATGCAAATACATTGGGCGCCTCGGTGGCTCTGTCGGTCAAGCATTAAGCATCCAGCTCTGGATTTCAGCTCAGCTCATGATCTCATGGTTCATGGGTTTGAGCCCAGTGTCGGGCTCTGCACTAACAGCACAGAGCTGCTCAGGATTCTCTCCCCTTTTTCTCTGCCCCTCCTCCCTGCTCTCTCTCAAAATAAATAAACTTCAAAAAGATGGAAGTATATTGTTACTTCAATATTGCTATGAGTAACATTGCTCATAATGAGTATACTTTATTCTCACAAGCAAATTCTCAGTCTATATGGTATTTGTAAAATAAATAAATTACATCCCTTTTGCTGAAAGTGATAGGAAATATATGACTTGTTTTTCAGGATGAAGTATGAATGATTTGAGGAGAAGAAAGTTTAATTGAGGTTTCTTTTAACTTGGAGGAAGGTGCTAGTTGACTCTTTAAGTTCCTTTCTTTAATCTAATTTATACATGAAGCCTAGATGAGGCACAGAACAGTTAAGGAAGAGCCTGATATTAGTTGCTTTGGTTTAAGTATTTTGAAGACAGAAGTAGTTCAGGAAAAGATGGACTGAAGTCCATATTTAATGCTTCTAGCAACCATACAAGGAGCACATAGGGAGACACAGAGGGCCTGTGAATGGTAGGAGTCCTGTTGTCAGGGTGCGGACCTGTTGCAGAAAGGTCCGTAGTAGTTCATGAAATAGAGCTTTTTAAAATCTGGTGCTTCTAATGGCAACTTCCAGGACAGAGCATTATGCTGATGTCAGATCCCAGCTATGTATGACTTCTTGGCTTTTTTGCCTTTTGCTGTTTCCATCTGCCTGTCCTAAGTCCCCCTTTATTTAAAATTAAACAAAATAAGCCTTCCCATAATTCTTAAGCTAGCAGTGGTTTTTTTTTCCTGTGTTAAAGTCTTTTTTAACTCAGAAATAACCCACAAAAGCTCACTTTAATTCCTATATTCACAGTTCTAGTATTAGCTAAGTTCTTCTGTTCATGTATTAAGGAAGAGGGTAATTAACAGAGAAGTCCAGTTTTTGAGGATTAGGGAGGGTTTGTTTTTGTTTTGTATTATATTTTGATCTACTTTTCCAAAAAAGAGATGTTTTAAAAAATGGTATCCTTCCAACTTTTCTATCCTTAAAATTAAAACTTCTCAATCTTATAATTCTATGACATGTAATTATACACATAAGTGGATAGTTCTTGCCCTTGAACAGTTCACATACATGTGATATTTTTAAATCCCAACTTTGCCTCTTATGTATAGATCAATCTGGTAATTAATCCCAAAGATTTGAGAATTGATACTAAACGAGCCAGTGGAGCTGGAGGACAGCATGTAAATACCACGGACAGTGCTGTCCGGATAGTTCATCTTCCAACAGGTATGTCCTTATTTCTTCAACATAAAACTTTGAAGAAAGAAAACAAATTCTGATTAACTTGACTGATTTTCCATTGTAATAGATCCTCAGTTACCAGAATATATACTACTCAAGATTATTATTAAATACTTTATTTAGATTAGAATCCTTAGATGAAACTCTGCAGGATAATTGCAAAAGCCAGGAAGACGGAGGGACCTAAGCCCAGAGAATTTCCGTACAGGTGACAATGAGGAAAAGGTGTGGACAGTCTTGCAGGTAGCTTCCTCAACTTCATACTTGGTAAATGTCACTATTAAAAGAAAATCCAGGGTGCTTGGCTGGCTCCATCTGTAGAGCATGCGACTCTTGATAGCAGGGTCATGTGTTCAAGCCCCATATTGGGTGTGGAGCCTATTTAAAATTTTTTAAATTTAAATAAAAAAAATCCTCAGAATGAAGTCACTATCATGGGTTCTTCTTTATCAGAAAATGCTCAAAATCACTAGTTCCTAGCTTTCTTTGAAGAGAGGAGGACATGGACTTCCTTGCGAAAATGAAAGCTTGGACTTGCTTTCTCAGAAACATGCTCACATGCAGAGTTCTGCCCATAACTTCCAGGGCTGCTGCTCCATGAAGTCCATCCACAAACCTCCAGCAGTTCTACTGGAGATACACAGGGGAACTATGTCTAAATATTTCTTAAGTCTTCAATATACTCAAGTGGAACTAAATGTGATTTACAATTATTACTGCAGTGATTTACATGTGATAAAGAGCAGATGGATAGCAAACTTCAGATACCTAGAAAGAATACACTGTGACTGATCTCAAATAGGCAGAATTCCCATGGATCAGTAGTGTTGAGCAGGAGTGATTGGTAGGTTTTTCCTTTTTAAAATTTGAGGAAGGCCTCAAGTTAAACTTTAAGATGATGTCTTATATAATATATACTATATAAACAGGAATGGGAAAACTAGATGAAACTCCTCACAAAAATATTAATTGTGCCTATCTCTATTAGGACTAACTTTTTTTTGTTTTGGTGATGACAAATAGCTACTTAAAAAATATATGGTTGCTAGTTAAGGGTATGGAAAAACAATCCTTATTAAATGAGTAATGATTTTTGTTTAGTATGTGTGCCTTCAATATGAATGTATTTGCACTATAACTCAAGCTTCAATTTTTAGTTTTCTGAGAACTCTGTAAAAGTTATTTGTTTAGTTTATAGTCTTCCTTTATTAGAGTTGTTTTTTTTCCTCATAAAGGAAGAAGAAAAAGAAGGAAAAAGTATTTCTTGATAATAAATGAAGAAGATTTTCCTATTAAAACTGTTCAATTCTCATGACACTATTCAGGTGTTGTTTCTGAATGCCAACAAGAGAGATCTCAACTGAAAAATAGAGAGATGGCTATGAAAAAGCTACGTGCAAAACTGTACAGCATGCATCTAGAAGAAGAAACAAATAAAAGATACAGTGCTAGAAAGATTCAGGTAAAACTTAATTTAAAACATGCTCTGAAGGGGGTGCCTAGGTGGCTCAGTCTATTGAGCGTCTCTTGATTTAGGCTCAGGTCATGAACCCAGGGTTTTGGGATTGAGCCCTGTGTCGAGCTCTGCACTGAGCTTGGAGCCTGCTTCGGATTCTCTCTCCCTCTGCCTCTTGCCCCTTCCCCGCTTGCACACTCTCATGTGCTCTCCCTCTCTAAAATAATTTAAAAAATGCTCTGAAGGATAAAAATATAAAAATAAGATAACCCAGTTTTTATATATGCTGAAATTATTTCAGTGTATTTGTCAAAATAAGGAAAGAATTCAAGTAGCTCAACAGAGGGTTATAGGTGTTTCATAATAATCTTAAACCTCTGCCCTCGTTTCTATATTCAAGGGCTTTGTTTCCTCAGATTTTTTTTTTAATGTTTTATTATTTATTTTTGAGAGAGACAGAGTGAGAGTGGGGGAGGGGCGAAGAGAGAGGAAAACACAGAATCTGAAGCAGGCTCTAGGCCCTGAGCTGTCAGCACAGAGCGTGACCTGGGGCTCGAACTCACGAACTGCAAGATCATGACCTGAGCCGAAGTCAGACACTTAAATGACTGAGCCACCTACCCAGGCGCCCCTGTTTTTCTCAGATTTTTAACCAAAGTTACTAAAAGAGGATATATGGAATCCCCATTTTGAATCCTTTGAAAATTATGGGAGTTGGAAAGCAAACTGAATTTATTTTCTTCCTGTTTGGCATTTAATTTTATAACCACCTTGCCCTTTATTAATTCCTTTTTCTGGGAATTCATCACTGTCCTCATTGAAAATGACCAGATCAATTCACAGATATATATGGCTACCATTTGAATGCTAACTCTGTGCTAGGCTGTATGTTTATGTCATCACTGTGTTGTAGGTATTATTTGTATTTTATGGATGGGGAAACTAAAGTTTAAAGTTTAAATAAATGTCTGAAGTTGTAGAGCATTGAAATGGCAGAGAGAAGATCAAATGCTATAAATCTGTCTCACTTTAAAGCCAGTACTCTTCTTTTTCTATTACGTCCCATGTTATTTGAGGATTCAAAATGTTTGAAACTTGGTTCTTGTGTTTCAGATTATAAACAAAGAGCTTAATCTCCAGGTAACTTAAATTTGTAGGTTTAGTTGCTTTGAATCTAACTGTATCTTATGTCTTCATATATATCTGTATAGGTTGGAACCAAAGGAAGGTCAGAGAAAATAAGAACATATAATTTTCCACAGAACCGGGTCACAGATCACAGAATAAATAAGTCACTTCATGATCTTGAAACTTTCATGCAAGGGGAATATCTACTGGATGAACTTGTACGGTCATTGAAGGACTATGCTGATTATGAATCTTTAGTAGAAATTATTTCCAAAACATAATTTATTATTAAAGACTTATAGCTTATAAAAATTCTACCACAGCAGATTACATTGTGTGTAAATACTAGTATTCTCTTAAAAAACATGAGTTAATACATTTGGAAGTAATGTGTGTATTTTAAAGACATAATTTATATAAATCTCTCAATATATTAGTAAAAAAATGTACAATACAATCATGACTCTGCTTATATATTTTGGACTCTTATGTGAAGTATACAAACAAAGCAAAAACAGTATTTTGTTTTCTTTACTGTAAAATGTTTAGCAAATGATCAAACATAAAAGAAATACAATAAATATTGTATTAGTCAAAGTCCAGTCAAGAGACAGAAACCAGACCATGAATTTGAACAGGGATAATTTGGGTACAAAGAATTTTTAACTGGTAATAGGATAAGCTATAAGGGGATAAGCGAGAACTCATGCACTGTGAATGAGAGAGAGTCCCCAAGGAAAGAACACCCTTCGAAGGAGCTTCCCTTCCCCCAGGGTAGAGTCAGGACTACTGGAGAGAGCATGGCTTTGGCCTACTTGATGACAGAAAGGTTCCCTGGGCTGCCCTGAGCCAGAGCTGGTCTGCAGGTGGTGGTGGATCAGGCCTTACAAAGAGGACCTCAAACCCTCTGGAATGATAAACAAGCAGTCTCCCACCAAGGTGTCAGAGAAACTTGTTGGACGGTTAAGTACCAGTTTGTGTCTGCATTAGTCAGGGTTCTCCAGAGAAACCGAACCAGTAGGATGTGGGAGATTTATTAGGAGGAACTGGCTCATGTGATTACGGCAGGTGGCAAGTCCAAAACCTGCAATGTGACCTAGCAGGCTGGAGACAGCCACAGGAACTGATGCTGTGTTCCAGTCCAAAAGCAGTCTGCTGGAGAAGTCTCTCTTGCACAAGGGAGGCCAGTCTTTTTTTTCTTTTCAGGCCTTCAACTGATTGGATGAAGCCATCCACCTTATGGAGGACATTCTGCTTTGCTCAAAGTTCATTGATTTAAATGTTAATTTCATGTAAAAAACACCTTACAGAAACCCAGGGTAATGTGGACTAAGTATCCTGGCACCCTGTTGACACATGGGCCAAGAGCACCCCCGCCCCCCGCAGCTGTGCCCTAGATGAGAAACGAGAGAAGCCTGTCCCTCCACCACCCCCTACTGACAAAACTTGGTACCAAACAGGTCCAGCTGCAGTATTCGGAAGTGGGGTGATGAAGGGTAAATTTGTTGCTGAGAGGCAACAATTTGGTAACTGACCTAAATACCCATATGCATTACCTAGTTTCAATAATTGATACGTTTTCGTGTATTCTTGGTGTTAGAAGTTACAAGTATTGTTACATTGTTAAATATTTCCACTTGCATTGTTAAAAATAAGGATATTGTATTCTATTATTAATATGTATTCTATAATATATTCTACTTAATCATTTATTAGCACATGTAACAAAATTCTCAGTAGTTCCCTAAAATCTTCAAATACCCAATTCACATCCTCCCAATTCTCCCCCAAATGCCTTAACTGGCTTCTTCAGACCAGGATCCAACTAAGGATCCCACATGGAATCTGCTGGTTACATTGTGTAAGTTTAGAATAGCCCTGCCAACTGCTGCCCCCTCTTTTTTCCATGACATTGCAATGAATTTGCATTTGAGAAGATCAGGCTACTACAGTATCATTTAATTCAAGTCACAGTATTTCCTACAAACTGGAAGTTGGAGCTTAACACTCAGCTAGTTTTGCATACTCTCTCCCTTTCCTCTGATTTAGCATTTTTGTCATTAAAATATATACCAAATAAGCCAAGTTTGAATGCTCTGATGTGCTGAGATGTATTTGATTCTCTAAAACACATGCACAGATGAGAAAAATGACTTCACCCTTGTGAAAGGAGAAGAATTTATTGTTGAAAGTGAGCTTAAAGCTAAATCAGTATAATATTTTTTTTTTAGAATTAAAGTTTATTTACTGTGAGTGAGCCCATGTGCAAGCAGGGGAGGGGCAGAGAAAGGAGAGAGAGAATCCCAAGCAGGCTCCATGCTGTCAGCCTGACTCTTGAGGCTTGATCTCAAGAACCAGGAGATCATGATGTGAGCCAAACAGTCCAATGCTCAACCGACTGAGCCACCCAGGTGTCCCTAAATCAGTAGGTTCTTTATCAGTATTTTTTCATCATAAGATTTAAAAGAAGTTTAGTGGCTCTTATTTTCCATAGGAGTCCTGGTTATGATCAGCTCTTTTCTGAGAAGACAGACTCCAGAGAATTGGGGTCTAAAAGGGAAGAAAGCCTGGGAATGTCTGCTTGAGGCTACACAGCTGTGAAAGACCTCTTGGTGTTGAGGGCAACAGAGATTAAAAAGTGCTTACTGTGTTTGATAAAGAAATACGAGGGGTGCCTGGGTGGCTCAGTCGGTTAAGCGTCTCACTTCGGCTCAGGTCATTATCTCACAGTTCGTAGGTTCAAGCCCCACATTGAGCTCTGTGCTGACAGTTCAGATTCTGTATCTCCCCCTCTCTCTACCCCTCCCCAGCTCATGCTCTTTCTCTGTCTCAAATATAAATAAATGTTAAAAAAAAGAAACAAACAAACAGGAGGGGCACCTGAGTGACTCAGTAGGTTAAGCATCTGACTTCAGCTCAGGTCATGATCCCACAGTTCGTGGGTTCAAGCTGTGTGTGTCGGGCTCTGTGCTGACAGTGTGGAGCCTGGAGCCTGCTTCAGATTCTTTGTCTGCCTCCCTCTCTCTTGTGTGCACATGCTCACTCTCTCCCTGAAAAATAAACATTAAAAAAACCCAAAAAACAGGAGACATCCCCATGGTTCTTCCATGGTGTATGTGCTGCTTACTGCAAGGAAGAGTAGTAAATTCAATGTGTTTAACTACAAGGAGTGGAAGGGAGAGTAGGGGAGGGGAAAGAACTACAGGAAAGGTCAGTTACCCATAAAGAGAGAAAGGCTGGAAATGCTGATTCTAGTTTTTGAAAACATGAAATTAAGGACTACAATTATGAGAATACCTCTATCTAGTAGATAATGTTAATTTTATAGTAGTTACAACAAAGTAGAATTTCCAGAGAAATAAAATGACTTAATTATTAAGGTTATATGATGAAAGGGTGAAAGAATTAGAAGACATTCCATTAATTCCCAAACTGCATGCGTTTCTCTATTTGTTGAACCTACAGTAATCTAAATTCTTATAAGCATATGTTCTACACAAATTTAAAAGTATATCATTGTGAGGTAATGTGTTTCCTCTTTCTTAAGTCAACCTGTATTAGCCAAATTTCCTCTAGAGCCCTAGCTTGTACTAACCTTCAGAGTAATTTGTTTCACCTTATTCTTTAAGAAATAGCAGGTTTACTATTTACTGAGAAAACTCAGTAAAGACAGGTATTAATTTTAAAACTGGCCA